ACAATGAATAAAATAATGATAAACTATAGATAAACTATAGATGTAATAGATGTAATAAAATAAATACATTAATACCGATATTTAATTACATAATCGCATATAAGCATTCCTTTATACAATCACACCATAAGGCGATCCTGAATGGTGTGATTGTAGAGAGGGTCGACTGTATATTATTTGTTCAAGTTCTGTAAATGAATTCTACTATATTGTTAAGATAACAGAACGTAGGTTGAAGGACTTCGTATAATTATTTCTTTTCAATAAATATTATTTATATTCCAGATATAATAGTTTTTTTTTTTTGGTAACCACAATTAGAATACAATTAAACATTGACGAATACTTTCAAAATAATTTATTTTATAAACTATTTATTAATTAATGATTTTTTTTTAATTTTCATTCCGATCGTTAATAAATAGGTAGGATGGGTACGGTGTTCAGAGATCAGTGTTTTCTGAGAATAGGATTATCAATAAAAAATTCGTAAAATGAAAAATACGAAAATTATTACTATTTAAGGGATAGAATTCATTAAGAGAAGATTTTTACAAACCGGGTTCTTAATTAATTAGTTTAAATAAATTCGCTTTCCTACAATAAACTTTTTTTCTTATATATTATAACATTTATCAACTAAAATACATAACTGCTGTAAAATTACAACCTATCAGGGCATCAAAAATTTGGACTCTAGTCGAAAATTTCCAGTAAAGAAGCATATTCGTATTTATAACTATATAATGTTTTTTTTAGCTTTTTACTGTAAATACGATTGAAATAAGGTTGCGTGGCAAAACCTAAATCCCCAATTTAACAAAAGTCGAAACTTTTCGATTTCAGGTTTTTCCCGGTAACCTTAGGTTGGACTGATTCAAATTTTTTTATTAAGAAATTTTTTACTTAGTTTATATATTACATTAAAAATAATATATTTTACACATTTTTTTTTTATTTGCACATTTTAGAATAACATATTTACATTTTTTTTTAATTTCTTAAATATTTTTTTTTACAAGTGTAGATTCAAAATTATATTAACTGAGTTTATTTATTGGGATGCACTAAATAATACGTAGCACTAAATTTGTTAATTTCAAAAGCTTTTAAATATCATAAGAGGATACTAATTTGAGCATAAAAAGTATTTTTTAAAATTAAGTAGCATTAAGCAGTCTTGATCTTCTCTACTGAGAAGAAACACTCATATTAGGATTATATTTATTACTATTGCTATAAATTCGAAAATAAATGTTATTCACAAAATAAAAATATCATGAACTATTAATAAGAAATAATAAACTATATCCCGAATATAAGCCTCTTTACTACTCATATTTAAATAATTGTGAAAATTAATCATATCATAATTTTTAGATTTATTTTAACGTTGATTCATCATTTTTGAAAATACTTAAAATGATCATTTACAAAAGGAATGTTTGACAAAATATCTTCAATATTTAATTTAATTCTTTTTTTCTGATTATATATATTTTGAAATATTATTATTATAATATTTACTAGTGATGTGAGATACAAAGTACTATACAAAAATTTCAAAACTAGTGAATTAATAATACTTTTAAAAAATTTCAAAAATTCATTATAAAAAGCATTAAAAATTTTTTAATAAAAAAAAATTATTTTACAATGCTCAATATAGGAAGAAACAACTCAATAAAATAGAATTACTTTTAGAGTTGATTAATCATTATTAATCATTTCTCAGATTTGATTCGCAGATTTACTTATTACACATGATTTATTTGAATATGAAAAATTCATTACTAAGAATTTTATTTTTATTTTTTGATTTTATAGTTTTTGGCTTCATGGCTCAATTGATCAATGATTCTAGTTCTCTTTTTCAAAATCTTAAGCCCTTTATTATTATTTTTTTAGGTAATTTCTTTAAATTTGTATTGCTTCAACTTGTATTAATAATTTCGATAATACAAGGAGCTATTAGAAAAAAGAATACTGGCTAGTTTAATTAAAAAATCTTTATTAAATATTTGTAATAAATATTTTAAGTATTTATCATACAAGTTAAATGATGTCAATTTGGGAATTGATAGAATATCCGAATGATATCTTATTGATTTCTGATTTTTTTTATTAGTGATCATTCAGTATATATTGAATAATGCCAAATGATAGCTCATAATTAGGACCTATTAAGAAGTCATTTAGTATGAGATAATTTTGACATCATTCAGATATAATTCAGTATACTGAATAATTACTTTTTTTTTCTGTTATTAACAATCATTGGTATATACTATTTATAAATGATTTGTTATTGAATGATATTAAAAAGCAATTACTCAATAAATTTATTATACGATTTATACTACTATATTACATATATAATTATATATCGTTTACATTTATTATAATAATAAAACTATAGAAAAAGGATGAATGGAGACTGCATCACAGAAAAGATGAACATCAATAAAGAAAGAAGATATGAAGAGTTAAAAAGTACTAATACAGGGAATAAATAATTAAATGATTGAAAAAGTCAAAACTGAAAAAAATATTGATATAATGATCAACTCATACATTACTTATTTATTGTCAGAAGGGTATCTTGGAGTTGCTTCATCTGATTCATTTCAGGGCATAGGTGGATCACTAAATTATACAGGAGTAGTCCAATTTGATGGCTGTACAAGAGTGGTCAGATGAAATAGTTATATATCAGAATACTATTTGCTGCAGGATTCATCGACGCATTGTTTCAAGTATCCATTATATCTGGCAATAGTCTATACAGAAACCCTGAATGAAATTTCTTTAGTTGTATTAGGTGTATTATTATGAATTCGTTTTTGTAACTGGGTAGACTTAGACATTTCTTCAAATGTCCTATCAACATAATCTCGTAAGAATTTACGAGCCTAAAAATGATTAGTAAATATCAATTGATATAAACCAAACAGTAATAATAATAATAATAATAATAATAAACTTACTATTAATGAACACTAACTAAGGTCTTTGATTCAAATTATTCTCTCACTATTCAGATAATCTGGATCAGTTTCGCTATTTTTATGTAAATGATATTTGTTATCATTCATGATGGAGAAAGTTCTGATTTTGCGAACTTTTTGATCAATGGATTCCTCTCTTTTTGTAGCCATTCGATTACTTTAACTTGACGCAACCTTTTCTACAATCATATAAAATAATAATTAGTAATGAAATAAATATAATTAAACTATCAGTTGATCACCTACTTCTCTGACATATGCATTTTTGTGATAACGTCTTGATTATTAGTCTTGTTCTTCGTCAGTTTTTTATTGTAGGAGTATGATTCCTTTTGATATCAGTGACGTTCATGTATTATTTTGTATAAAACGTTATCTTCGACTAGGAATATACTTTGGTCAATACTTGCTTAGATAGTTAGAATGATTGTCCTATTCACCAAGTTACGCTACGATTTGAACATTTTTTCACATTCATTTAGCAATCTTCTGATATTACTTTAATAATTATAAATACTTTTTTCTAAACAATTTAAATTTATACTAGTTACTAAGAATATGAATAGATATATAAAAAATAACATTTATTACTCTTAATGCCATCAGAAGCTTCTTATCCATATTTAAAGTATATAAATATCTTGATGTTTTTTGATGACTTGGTAGATTAGAACTTCCTGAACTTGTATTACTTATTAACTTGAAATGGTAATACCTTTTCTTTTTGCATTTTAGTATGCTTTTTCACATATAGTTACATTTTTTATCCCTTTTTAGTGTATATTTTTTTTTATTAGAACATCTGAACTACTGAGCTAAGAATAATCATCTCATCAGAGCTATCACTGGTAGAACGTAAATAAACATTAGATGATTTAATTCTAAATGGATTGGATAGACTGGCCACTCCATAGCTTTCAGAATGATTTTTATAACCTAGCTGAACTTTTATGGTAATAATATCATTCTCCTTATCTAATGTTATATCTTTCAGATCAATTAATATTATATCTTTCAGATCCATTCTATGCATCTTCCCCTTGATGACAGCTTTCAATATTTTCTTTAAATATTTGACTTGTAAATTAAAAGTATGTTGTTTTAGAATTAAGAAAAAAAGGAAGATAAATAGGAAAAAAAAAGTACATATAAATCAGAAAGATATATTATCAATTATTAAATAAATTAATCATTATATCGATTAATACCTGATTCATCTTTCTTTCCCTTTTCTATTGATTCATCTTCCTATGATTTGGGATCATCTGATATATCATCCCATTTTTTACTTAATCTCAGAATTTCTTCCCTTAGAACTTCTTTCACTTTCTGAACCTTTTTCCTTTAGACCTCTTTTGTTCTCTCAACTTCCTTTCTTAGAACATTTTTTAGTATTTGAGCTCCTTTCTTTTGGACTTCTTTTGCTCTCTGAACTTTTTTCTTTGGAATTTCAATGTCTGAATCTGACAATTCAGATGGAAAACTATGACGATATTGGTAACAATATAGGTAACAATATAATTTTTATAGAATATTCAGAATATTTATATTTTCTTTGGATATAATAAATTAACAACTACTAATAATAAAATATATTACTGACTATACTTTGAGTTTTTTTATAAAGACGCGATTAACTCTTTCTGTCTTTACTTTGTGACCTATCACGTCATCCTAAACTGAGCGACGATGTATGATATTAGTTAGATACGTTGAAACTGGCAAAAATTGATGAACCTGTCAAATATGCCAAATATGCCAGATCTGCCAGATCTGCCAAATCTGCTATATCTGCCAAATAGAACACATATATTATTTATTATATTT